CCACCGGCCGGGGCGGGCCCCCACCTCGCCTCGGGCTGTGGGGAGCCGGTGGCGCTTGCCGCCGCGGCGGAAGCTCACGCTGCAGCCGCTGGGGCTGCCACGACCACCACTACCGCCCGGCCCGGAGCGCGTCGCGGCCTAATGTTGTCATCGGCCGTGTCGCCGCCTCTCTGGGTCCCCGGAGCCGCGGAGAATCTTCACATTCGAGCGCCCTCCCCGTCCGTGTCCCGCCCGGCCGCGCGCGGGCTGCGGCCACGCCCCTTGGCGTCACGTGACGGCGCGCGGGGGCGGCCGCCGGAGGCCTCCCCTGCGGGCCGGGCGGCACCACGCCCGAGCAGCTGGCCGCGCCAGGTTCTGCCGGAGTCTTATCGCCGCCGCCTCGCCTCCGCACAGCCGAGGGCGGCCGCGGGCTGCGAGCCCACCGCCGCCCGCCCCACGCCCGTGACTGGCCGAGGCGGGGCCTGCGGGACCGGTCGTGCAGGGTCCTGCCCGGGCTGAGCGGACGGCGCCGGCGAGCTCCCTGCTCAGGGCTCGCGACCCCACGCTCGCTCGGCCCGCCCCGCCTCCTGGCCTGGGGCTTGCTCAAGTTTTAGTCAAACAAAGGAAAAAAAGGTCTCGTGGTGTCAGGCTTGGAAAGCAGTAACTGCTTGTTCCTATTTCTAGTAACACGTGGATGGTGGCACTGAATTTACTGTTCTCTTCATTAGAGGTTTTCATTTTTAAGAGACGGATGGTGCATGTCAGTCACACTTGGATGAAAATAGCAGACTTATTTTTGTTCCTAGTCCTGTTCGGGATCCTTCGTGCCAGTTTTACAGTCCATTAAGTTTTTACAACGTGTTAGGCTGGTGGCAGTTGGGTGTTTGGCAATTCGTTCCATTTTTAAAATAAAGCCTACTTCTTTTTTTATTTTTATAAAACCAACATGTTTTTATTGATTTCAGAGAGAGGGAAAGAAACATCCATGATGACAGAGAGTCATTGATCGGCTGCCTCCTGCACGCCCCCCACTGGGGATGGAGCCCACAAGCAGGGCTGTGCCCTGACCTGGAATCCAACCGTGACCTCCTGGTTCGCAGGCTCAGCCACTGAGCCGCATCCGAGGGGCCTAATTCTTTATTTAAGTATCTTACCTTTTGGACATAACCTTTTGCCTTCTTTTTAACCGTTTTCAGAGGGAATCTTCCCTCAACCTTGTTGATGGGAGGAAAAGAATAAAATGCTAGTCGCAAAAAGGAAAAAAATACAGAAATAAGGGAGATAGAAAAGCAGAAAGTTTATAAACAAATGCCAATAAGAAAACACATGAAAAAGCTTTCTGTAGTAACTAAACTCCGTTTGTAACATTTTCCTTCCATTGTTAAGGTTTTTTCTTGAGCAGTTTTTTCATCTCACTACATTTTCTTAATAACACATCAAAAAGTTTTCTGGTCAACTGGATACTTTGAAATGAATAAGCAGTAGTTTGGCATGTATAATACTTATTAATATATTTCATAGAAACTCTAAGAAATCGTGGAATTTAAGATTCACCATTATTTCGTGTTACCCAAGAAAGAAAGAAAGACCTACCAACTAAACTATACCATGCCATTGATTTTTTCTTAATATATTTTATGTATTTTTTTTACAGAGAGGGAGAGGGATAGAGAGCTAGAAACATCAATGAACGAGAAACATCGATCAGCTGCCTCCTGCACACCTCCCACTGGGGATGTGCCCGCAGCCAAGGTACATGCCCTTGACCGGAATCAAACCTGGGACCCTTCAGTCCACAGGCCGATGCTCTATCCACTGAGCCAAACCAGTTACGGCCCATTGATTTTTTTTAAAGACACATCTTGAATTCAGAGATGTTAAAATGTGAAAAACAATGAGTTTCAGAATCTATGAGATATTGTAATGAACTAGAGTTCCAATGAGGAAAAGATTCTGCAGGTTCTGAAGTCTGAGAGATGGTACTTATGATTCAAATAAATGAGGTAAGTTTATTATTCCGTGAACGAAATTATTTCAGCAATGCTAGTAACTTTATAGTTTGTCAACAGATTGAAACCTGTCTCCTATTTTCCAGAGCAGTTTTTTTCAAACTGACTAAAAAATCAATTTTATTTTTTAATGAAATAGAATTTAAAGTCAGAATGCATATCTACTAAGGGCAAGTATTGCTTTGTGAAACCTTTGTCTTAGTTATGGGGGAGAGGGAGAGTGTATCCTATGTTGTGATTTAAACTATATTTCCTATTGTGAGTTGCAATCAAATAGATTTGATAAAATAATGTTCCTAGAGCATAGATAACATGCAAAATATACCAGCAGGGCTCTGTTCTCTGGTGCTTTTCCTTTACTTTGGAAGTGAGACTCAAGGTTAGAAAAAGGGGGCAAATTGCCTTGCCTAACCCTCTTCTGTCTTAGCCCCACTTTCTTATATTGACTATTGAAAATGAATGGTTATTTTTTGGAATGGAAAGTACTGTACTGAAAGCAAAGAGGCCTAGGTTATAGGCTTAGCTAACTAGATGTGTGACTAGATAAAATACTCTCTGCATTTCAAGTTCTGGTAAAAGTAGGGAGTTGTACTAGATGCTCTTCAAGGTATGATAGTCAACCTTTTTCTCTTAATGGGTGGTGTTCAGATTTGAAACAAATAGTCATGGCACACCTATTTGTTTATACAATAGCCAATATAAGAAAGTGGGGCTAAGACAGAAGAGGATTAGGCAAGGATTATACAAATTCTTATGAAACTAGCTTCAACTCCTTTCACCATACTCAAGACAAAGAAATCAGAATGCAAGTAAGTGAAAGTGAAGATATAGGATAACAAATGTAAGTATATATTTCACAAATCTTCTATATATTAACTATCTATACTAATAAAAGGGTAATATGCTAATTAGACTGGACATCTTCCGGACATCCTTCCTAACAAAGCCGGGGTGTCGCCCAGGCCACCTTGACCTCCAGCAGGGACCCCCTTCTTGATCGAGGGCGTGGCTGGCCTGCAAACCACCCTCAGCCCCTCGCCCAGGCCAGCACCACCCCCCATCAGGGACCCCCACCCTGATCAGGGGCGTGGCCGGCCTGCAAACCCCAGGCGGGCCCTCTCCCAGGCTGGCCCTGTCCCAGCAGGGACCCCCACCCTGATCCGGGACCCCCTTCAGGGCAGGCCAGCCAGCCCCCACCCATGCACCAGGCCTCTATCCTATATAATAAAAGGGTAATATGCATATTGACCCTATTGGCAGAACGACCAGAACAACCGCCTGATCAGTCACTATGAGGCGCACTGACCACCTCTTGGTCTCTTTCCCTGGCTGGCAGGGTCAGATTACCTGATGGCCACCTGCTGCAGGGCTGGGGCTGGCAAACAGGCGGGAGGGAACAGCCGACCTCTCAGTCCCTTTCCCCAAGAACCAATCACCCGATGGCGAATGGGGAACCAGGCGGGGGAGGGGGGGTGGCGGCAGGGGGGCAGGGCCGGCTGCGGGCAGCTGGGGAAGATGGCCCTGATCACAGGCCAGGCCTAGGGACTGTACCCACGCACGAATTTCATGCGTCGGGCCTCTAGTTACTTATAATAGCTCCTTATCGTGAATAACTAATGATTTGACATATCTCACAACTGATCACAACACAATGATGCATCATTGCACTAAAGTTGAAAATATATGCTTTTCAGATACTTTCAGATCTAATATTCTATGATTCCAGCACATGATCAATCTACTATTTTCAATGTAATCACAACATAAAGAGAAACTATGTGTGATTTTTACTGTAACTGAAAAATATCCAATAATACCCATTACTATGTTAAGAGATACCTTGCAGTTTGCTATTACTAAAGTGATTTAAAGAATAACATTTTAAATAAAACTTTTAAATTATAACTATCCAATTTTAACTCGAATAAAAATTCATCTCTTTTGCTTAGTGTTTAATAAATTATTAATTCTAAGAATGAGAAGGATTTTTCCCAAAACAGTTTAAGCACTGACTGGCATGATAATCTTTCTCACAGAATGCATTTAAACCCCTGACCTAGAATGAGAGATTGGGCTTGAGGTTGTTTTTGTATTTTTGTTTAGCCTCATAAGCATCCATGTAGATGATTATGTTGCCAAAGGTTGCTAATGAGGATTTTTCTTGAAGCTTAAGATTGAGAACAACCTCAGACATAAATAAGGTATTCACAACTTTGAAGACTGTGGTAGATTGTATTATTACTCTTGGTGATGTGACTTGCTCTAGCCAATGGTTTGGGAGCAGATGTGACACGTCCTAACTGCTTTAAATCTGTGTGCAAGGTTCAGGTCAATCTCTTAATCTTGTGCTGGCTGCCGTGAGAGAGGTGTGCTCCAAGTAAGGTCTCTGAATAAGAAAATACATGGAGTAGATCCAAAACTGACCTTTACGCTGGAACAGTCCTGAGGAAGCTGACCTGAAGCTACTAACATCACACAAGAGTAAAACATAAATGTGTGTTGATCTAAATCACAGAGCATTTTGAAATTGTTGTATAATAGTAGCATAATCTCACAAATCACCTAAAGTGAATTCGAGCCAATACCTGATAGATGAGTGGTTCAAAGGTTAAATGCACTATAGAATGATAATATTTAAACTTCTATTTAATAAAATAATAATTTACAAAGTCATCCACCAAATATATGGCAAACATACAATTAATATTTATATATTGTAAAGTCTATAAAATCTACAGATTTGCTTGCAAAATATTTGCATATTGATTTTAAGTATTTCTGTTTAGTATGATTTTCCTCAAGGAAAATTTGGATAATAACCAAAGTAAAAAGAATATAGGCTTCTGTTTCTGTCAATATTGTGGAACAGGTACCT